ATTTCTTGCTGCCCATGTTTCCACATGGCAATTACAGTAAGTTTCTTCTGAATGCCTTCTAACACTCTGAGAAAGAGACCAAACCTTTCAGCTCAGGGACTTTCCCAAATTCAATCAGATAATGAAACTTCAGTACAAGCTTGTGCTGGTTTTTGCAGCCTACAGACAAGTTCAGTTATTCACGACTGTTGGAGATTACTCATGTGTACATTTTGCTTTTCAAAATCTGTCACTATTTCACTTTGAATTCTTGAAATAAATCTTACTGGTTTGATGCCTGAAAGCCAGGTTTATGCCCTTTGTGATCCTTACTGTCTTATATCAATGAGCACTATCAACAACATTTCTTTTTCCCACTAACCTGATTTTATGGTTTATGTCTTTTAGATTCAAATCTTGATGGTATTATGTTCTCTTTTAGGTTGTTAGAAGCAAACAATTCAAAATGTGAAACATTTAGAGGTTTAAGGTTAAGTACATGACACATTCGTAAGATCTACTTTTCCTTTGAAATGGCTCAATTTTTATTAAGCACTTGAAGCCATTTAAGCCCTACATAACACAGCTGGATAGTACCTATAAAATCAGAAGATAAATGGAGCTAGTTCCAAATATTTCAAAATACATTCTGATATAAAATTGTTCTCTTTAAAATTAAATTATTAAAATCTTGTAACCTTTCAAATGTCTACAAGGACATGTAGAACAATAACATGTTTGAAAATCATGTATTATTGAAAAATATATTTCCACCATTCCTTACTGGAAACCAGAGTTAAAGTCATCCCTGAAATCACACCAGTAATAAATTTAGGGTTCTTTTTGAATGCTTCTGTATATTGCTGATTTAAATACTTATAAAATGCAAGGAAATTTATAGTTTGTATTTTGTGAGAGCAGAATATTTCAGAATTTGTGGACACTTTGTGCTCCATTGGACTGTATTTCATTGTACACTGTGTAATTGTGACATGAATCAAGCCATAAAGTGTGGCAGTAATAAAATTTGTTACTGAAACAAAAGCTCTGTTTTGCCTGCCATTTAGCCTTCCAAAACTCTTAATTAAAAAAAAAAAAAAAGCTGCCAAACAGGATTTTTGGATTTTGGAAGTTAGGTAGCCCAGATGATAACCAGTTCTGAGTTATGGCCATTTTCCTAAGTATCAAAGTCAAGGCTTGAAGCACAAAAGGCGTTTTGTTAAGCATTTTACAGTCTTGTGAGACATTCAAAAGACAGACATACTTAACACATTTGGCAGCATCAGGGGAAGTAGAAAATGTCATGACAAAAATGTGTCTGAGAAAGCAGAGACATTGTGGAGTTTACCTCCATTTTTCACAAGAAACCGTAATTTGGAAGCATTCTGTTTAAATCCTAAAGAAATGCTTTATTTTGCCTTACCACTTTCTTGTCAGAACAGTTACTTATCTACAAAGATATAAAGTTAGCTGCAACTCAGCAAAATAGCTATATTATTAAGGACCAAGTTCTTACACCTTTTTCTTTCCCAAGGTTATTTGTTAATCTAGTGGAAATAACTACATTTTTGCACTATCCAGAATTCAACCCGCACAGAGGTTATCTGTCACTCTCTCACCCAGTGTTTCCAGACGACATAACTGCAGTACTATGTTTTGATTCTGTCTCTGACAATAAGGAGGATGGGTTAAGAGGTGACAAGCACAACTGTGAAGAACATCAAAAATGGTAAAAGAATAGTCAAAAAAGCTGTTTGAATCAGAACAAATTAGCCTGCAGTGAGGTTGAAATCATCAGAGTCCTAGTTGTCTTGCCTGATTAAGCTGTCCTTGCCAGCACATATAAAGGTGTTTGCAGACTAGCCAGGCATTTCAGTGTAGAGAAGAATATCACAGCAAAAGTGAATTTGATCAGCCCACATTTGGGTACCATCAGATAAGAAAAGAAGAAAAATCTGGGAAGAAAAGGGAAAGGGGAAATTGCTGCAAAAAAATAAAAATAAACTAGAAATCTGTCTGGGCTGTAATTTATGGCTATTCTAAAGGAACATTAGTTGTAATAATAACTGTCAGAAACCTTTTGTGTACCTATGTAGTTCAATTCTGAAATTATAACTGAAACTGAAGAAAAACTCAATGTGGCTTATGCATGTTTCAAGAGGAATGTATTTTCTAGTTGCTGTTGCAGTTAAGGTGCTACCTGATTTGCCCCACCTTAGCTCTAGCTTCTTCACATGAAATACATGGATTATTTTTATTCTCAGACACTTGACAGCTCATCTGTGGGGAAAAAGAAAAAAAAAAAGAAAGAATAAAATATATTTTCAAGTGAAATCTCTTCACACTGAAGGCACCAGTAGTTTTACATTTAATTCAGTGCAGCCAGATGTGAGTTGATCCTTTTTCTTAGTTGGTGCAAAGAGAAGCACAACTAGGGTTTTGTGCATGAAAAGAAAAATTCACTGGTTCGTGTAACTTACATTAAGAATTCCAGGTACTTTGGTGAATACTAGGAGATTGCACATAAAAGGAGTTTAAAGTAAAGTTTGAGTGTCATTATCCCATTCCTATATTCCTTTCCATGGGAATTGGTAGTTGCTGACCATCAAAAATTGTTGTGACTTTACATGATCTGATGGTGTGACTGAAGACTCTGTGTCTTCTTTCCTGTGTGTTATCCTCTTTTATCCAGAGTGAAGTTGTGCTCTGCAGTGCTTTAATGTTGCCTCCCATAACAGCACATGGGCAGAAAGGCAATTTCTGTCAGGCCTATCTTGCATTTCAATCACAATTTAACATCATTAAGAAAGTTCTGATTTAAATGTGAATTGCTCCATGTTCAGAATTATAGGATCAGAAAATTTTATTATTCCTCAAATATCAAGTGTTACTGCAAGATTATGCAAGTGCTTACTGCAAAGTGCCTCTTTAATTGAATTATCAATGACCTTTATTATTTATTGATTTATATTTGCATGTGTGTATTGGTTTTAGCATTTCTGGGAAGCAATGAGAGTTTTTATATGTTTTTAGGTGCAAGAGACATCTGAATTCTAGAGACAAAGTGCACTTAACCCTTTATTCGATTTACCGTATTCATACTACAGGCCCAGATGTCTGTGTTTGACAAGAAAAATGTATTCTTGCTTGGCAATAAAACCCAATAGATTAATTTGGATACTTCATGGCATTTTTGTTAACCTTAAAAAATACAGTCCTTTTTCTAGCTGAGCAGATGTCCTGTGCAGGTAGTATGAAACAAACAAGACAAAGACAAATGTATTTTGTCTTGTTTAACTTAATCATTGTTTCTTCTGTGAAGATTAAGTTTGATTCATTCAAAACCAAAGGTGACCTAACCATTCTCCATGTATTTTCTTCAATACATCACAAAATCATTAGATCTTCAGTTTCTAGTCAAGAAAAATTTTGCAAACATAACTAGATATAAGTGAACAACTGAAGACGTGTAAATTTATTTTAGTCAGGAGCTAATTTCAGCCTTCTGCTATCAAAGTAATAATGTGGGGAGGAGAAAAGTACTTATGAAATGATAACAATAATATATTTATATATAAATAATATGGTTTTTTAATCTCTTATTCCCTTGTTAGGAAGCACGGTCATCAGAATGTTATCAAACTGATGATGCTTCATTAACAAAATGGAATTGTAGGAAAAGCTTTAAACACTATCTCTGCCTTATCTTCCCACTGTGAAAGGGCTCAGAAGCTGGCTAATTTAAGCAAAGTGTACATGAGTAAGCAATTACTGAGCAAGTAACTTCTCCTGAACTGTGCTGCTTTGAGTGGCAGAAGTGCCCTTGTTACAGCAGGAGACAGAAAAGGTCTGTAATGCAGAACTTCTCTGAAAAATCTGTCTGTGGTGTCATACTCATAGCAAACTTTACAGTGCATGAGTAAATGATCAACCTAATTACATTTCCTATATCCATCATAGAAGTCTCATTTTTTCCTTCTCCCATCTGTCTCTGCCCATCTGTTTTCTCTTATGGTTGGCCTGTAAAGTCTTTGGGGCAGGGGTTGTTTTTCATATCTGTGTACAATATCTAAGGGGATCCTGCTTTACAACTAGGAATTATAAGCAAAATGATAAAATAAATATTTCATAACCAAACTTTCATATGTAAGAAACTAAGTTATCAGTAAACTATAAACACTTGAAGACCTGAAAAGGTCAGATTTCAAGCAAATCAAGGGATCCTTTTTAGCATATAGATAACTTCTGATTCTGTTTAACCTGTCCTTATAACCTATGTATTTTTTCTTATGTCAGAAAAGCACAATTCAGCACATAATTGTTCTATCTGTAAGCCTTTCAGAGTCAAGATTGTCGCAGAAGTGTAGGATTATTGTCACCAAGTATTGCTTCAGAAAACATAGAATGCACAGAAAGCATGGAATGCTCCTTTGGGATTCCTGCCTAGTCTCCTGGCCTTGCCTGTTTGCAGCATTCTGGGCAGGGTGTATTCCCAATGACACTCAGCCTGCTTTGGGTTTTTTGTAAAGACATTTAGATTCTACTCTCTGTCTCAGCAGGTCAGGATTCTGCCTTAAGTCTGGAAGAGTTTCTGTCTCCTAATTTGAGATTATTGAGGTTTCACTGTGACACAAAGGTGTTAGAACAGACCAAGCAACAATCTCCTATTTTCCCTTAGAATATTCTTATTTAAAGAAACAGTGATGTGGAATTCTTAAAAGAGCTCATATATTATATATTATTTTATATTATATATTTAAAAAAATACCTGTGGAATAGAATTGTGAAAAATGGTAAAAATACCATATTGCAACTGTGTAGATGAAGAAAACAGAATGCAAGGCTATTTTTTTACACATATATCTGGTTTTGATAATTAAATTATTGATATAATAATTGTAAACTGGGTGTTTAGGATTAAACCATGCTCTCTTTTATCTCATCCTTCATTGATTTTTTTGTGTGCATGTGATTTCATAAGGTCAAAAAATTTATCTTGGTGACACATGGAATTCTTCATTTTAGGATTTGCATCATCTGAGCCACCTGCCTCTGTATGTATGCTTATTTGTAAGTACTATAGCAACACTCCTGACTTGTCTGGTTAGAACATCATATTTCCCATTACAGGAGTTTCACACATATTTTCTTTAAAATTTCAGTACTATAAAAGGTGCCAGAGGAAAAGGTTAGGGGTTCATAACAGAAGCAAGAACAATTGGAGCTGTCAGTTTATAACAGTGGCAAACCTGTAGATATCTTTAAAGCCTGACAAATAGAAAACCAGATTATGGACCAGTAAGCAGGAAACCTTAGTCCACAGCAAAGTAATTTTTCTTAGTTTACCCTTTGGTGCAAGATATTTATAACAAGCCAAATTACCTTACTTTTAACCTTTTAACTTGGGCATGTCTATAGGAACTCTTTCCATGTCCTTTTCCATAATCCAAATGTGTTGCGTGCTCAAGCCCCTGCTCTCTAATGCTATTGACATTTAATGACTATTAATGGTAATTCTCTGGTTGTAGCAATTGCAAGTATTTTTATAACTTTGTAATTTATCTGAGAACAATATCTATAATTTCTTTATTATACAGCAATGCCATGAAAACTCATGAAAAACATGTCAAAATGTGCTTTGTTGAATCTCTGGAAAGATCCAATATCTATTTCCAATCTTAAATGTTTGAGTTGTTTCTATAAGAAGCACAGGAGTGGTTTCTCTTAAATGCTTTCTCAAGTGGAGAGATGCCTTCCATGATGTACATCAGAGTCCTGATCCCCTGGTATTGCAGTACACAGAATGTGACCTGGTGTATTTTCCATTCCACTCTGGCTTTCCTGCCAGTGGAAAGCAGCATGCACCCAGCAGGGCTTCACACCCACCTTTGCTTCAATGAGCCATCAAGAAAAGGCAACAATTCAGACAGCAGGGATTCAACCCACAGGGATTCCTTGACACTTAGTACATGGTGAGATGTTCTGCCTTTCCCACTTCTGCCTTGGAAGCCTTTAAGTGCCTTAAGTTATATAAAATTAAAAAACTACTCTAACCAAGGAAGGACTCTAGCCAGACATTGCTTTAAACAAGCAAAGTAAAATATTTCCAAGTAATGCCAACAAAAGACAATTGCAGCTCCTAAAGGAGAAAATAAAACATTTTGTTAGAATTCTTTAAAATTACAAGGAGCAATAACATAGTATAGTCAGGAGAAAAAAAAAAAAGAAACTTTGTCAGGAAAAAAGGAATCATTTCTACAAAATTTTAATCTGAGGATATTTAGGGTCATAAAAGAGGATTTTATCTATTCCCAGTTTGGTGTACATGAATAACATAAATAAGTGAAAATAGAGATACAACAAAAGGCCATTTTTCCTCTATGTGTGGGTGGGACAGATCATTGTATTGAAGAGAACCTTATTAGTAATATAAAACAGGGGAAATAGATTCACAATTTTTGATAGATAAATTTCACCACTGTCCCCAAACTCTTATCGCAAAAGATATTTATTATATATTTAAAACAAAAAGGTGACTTTTTTTTCTTTTAACACTGGTCACACTTTTGCACGTGGGTCTTTATAGTGCATGTGGGATTCTATTTCCTTGTATAACCCACCTGCTTTTCTGTAAGTACATAGGAAGTAAATTATACTGAACATATTTTATGAAAAAAAAAAAAACCAAACAAAAAACCACACCAACAAACCACTAAAAACAAAAAACCTCAAAATCCCCAAACCAAACAGTAGCATAGATGAGTTTTAATGTAATCAGAAAAAAATTTATACTTTATTCCATTTTCTCCTTTATATTCCATGTAAATACAAAACATCAACTGATGAGCTGTACTTTTCAGAGAGAAAAATACAGTTATATTTAGGCATGTGTATTTTTTACTTAGTTGCTTGTAAAGAAAACCCTCAAACATAATTTTATTTCTTCTTTAAGAAAGAGAGGTGGAACTAAAAACTATAATTTCCTACCATATTTTTATGGTTTTTACTTGTTTTAATTTTAGAAAGGGAAATAGTTCCTACCATTCTTACACAGGTGATTTTTCAGCTTATAAATAATGATATATAAATGATTAAGGATAAAATAAGCAATTTAAGGTTATTCTTTCTGCATCTGACTCTCTGGAACTGTGATTTTTGTAACAGTGTATGCCATCCTTGTTAACCATGACAGAGACTAACCAATGACTCAAAAGGAATCAACACTTTAATAATTAATGCAAGATGCTGAAGACATAAACCAATGGTGAATAATTCATTTCACTTCAGTTCATGATTTGTTGATTAATAATCATGAAATATCTGGAATTAATTAACTAATGAATGTTTATGAATAACAATTACCTTTGTTTGTTTCATGATTTCATGTCTGTTTAGACTACTTCAGAGGAAGAAAAAAACCATGAACATGTGAAGAGGAATTCTGAAGAAAGATGAATGACAAAGACTTGTGATTACTTCCAGAATGTTGTATCAGAAGTGACAAAAGTTTAGCAGTCTATCAGTTCACTTCTCTGAGGTGATTATGTGAAAAGAAATATAAAAAATAGGCCATAGTAAAGCAATTTACAGCTACAGAAAGCCCCAGCTTAATGCCCTGATTGTTAATGTATTTGTACCATTACAAATTTTAATTGAGTAATCTATCATGAAAACTTTATTGCATGTATGACAGCAACAGTAAAATTAAAGGTAAAGGTTTCAAGGATGTGAAACTGAATTTCTAGAAGGCAAGCTACTTTTGATGTAAGATATATCTGTGTGTCATTTCGTTGCTTAGCTCACTGTCATTCATGTCAGGGAAATACTATTTGTTTGAAGCTATACTAAACAATTCACATCTTTTCATGTCATGTACTTGTAAATAATTTTAAATGTCTTTTTAAAAAAATCTGCCATTTTTTCCATTGCATAAATGCTTTCTTTAATTACATGGAATTATGTAAATTCCTTTAACAGCAGTTAAGGTCAGAAAATCTGTTTACATTTCATAGGTTATCTGGCTGCACATCCTCTAAGAAAATGGAAACAAAATCTAATCCTCCAACAATTTAAAGAATTTTTTTGCGGTCTCACAAAGTGTTTATTTAGGAGATGAAACATAAATCACTCTGATGAAAGCATAAATTAACTTTTAAAAAAGTGCTTTCCACATGAACCTGTGAAAAATTAAGTTTGATACCTCAGGATCTGAAAAAAGCTGTATATTGTGTTCCTAAGCATGGACTCTTTCTTTCACAAGGATAAAATGGCAGGATTAATGAAGAGCTTAATGATCTCCTGCTGTGATGAAGAGTCCAGGAAGTAGCTGCTCTAGAAGGAGATGTTCTGGTACCAGCTGAGGAGCATTTGTGGAGGAGTCATGGAAGGTATTATTGCAGGGCAGGCAGATGACTTAGGAAGGTCATAGAGAAGAGGAAAGAGTGGTTGCTAGTGTCTAATTCAGATTTTGGTCTTCTTTTAGAGAGAGGAGGTGTTTGGACTGATTCAGATTACTTCTGAAGGCAAGCAGTGGCAAGGATGCCAGGACTTAAGGCATCTTAGATTTCTGTATAACTTAGAGTTACCTGTAATTTCCTGCCTCTCTGGGACAGAAAAGTTATTAAAAGCAGTATGCCAGTGGCTTCAGATACTGATATTGCCAGATGTTCTTCAAACCAGGGTACAGAGTCTCTTACTGATGGAATTATGGACTTATACCTCTCTGATGCTTTTGGATGTGACCAGCAGCTGCAGATCTCAAGAAGATATATGGTGCATCTTTTGCAAAGATCAGGTACTGTTGCTGTAGTTTAACCACGATAAATAAAAAAGATCACTGACATGAACTGAGCAGTGCAGAAGTGCTGTGGGTACTGACTGTCCTTTTCTGCCTGTGTACCAGAGTTGGAAGAACTTATTCACAGCTTACTGCTGTCTAAATTGTCTTTTTTTGTTTCATTTGGTGGTGGAGATTAAGTGCTTATTTATTCTTTTAAAACATAGAGAAAAAGAAAAAAAATACAACCCATTTAACTTAAACTTTGGGATGTAAAAATCTATAATGTTGCACTAATAATAGTTGAAACTAAATTCCTTGTTATATTGCTTTAATAAGTACTTCAGTATACTTAGTATATATTGAGCACTTATTAACTCATCTTTTACTGATGTCTTAAGTTAGTTTAAAAGTTATCTTGAAGACAGTTGGAAGTTTAAAGACATATATATATGTATTTTCTGTATAACTTGTAGAGCACTGCTTTAGGGTTAGGTTTCTTATAGGTAAAATTAGTTTTCATTTTATAGCTAAAATTAATAGAGATAAAGAAAAACTGAGACAAATTTTGAGCTTGGAAAATGAGGGAAGTAGAATCTGTGGGTGAAGGACCATCCAGTCATCTGATATGCTAAATATCACTTTAGGTAATTTAGTCCAGTTCAAGAGTCTCTGTTCCTGGGCCAGGATTTAAAGGACTTGAACATTTGAGGATGTAGTTAGAGACTTAGCAGTGCTTCAGAATCCTACCAGACTCTTATTTGTAGTTATCTGTAAAAAGTCCATCAGGTAAAATAAACTGCACCAAAGTGTTTGCATTGTTTAGCCAAACCCCTGAGGAAAATCCCTTTGAAGAGTGGATGGCTACAGGAGGACTAAAAGAAGGCTTAGGAGGAGACCTTCAAAGGAGCTTTGCTTTTCCACTGTAACAGTAATTTAGAAGTAATTAAGTTATGTACTAGCAGAAAAATAGGCATATGCTGTGAAAATTGCTTACTGCCCTGGTTGTACCTGCTTCTTTTCTATCCTTGGCATCTTTCTTATAGCTTTTCTTTGTCAAATATGTTTGTTTCTCTTATCCTGAGGCTGCAAACTGTGTGTCACAGAATGGTCTCTTTATAGTTGTATGCTGCAAATTTAATATGATTTGAATCATACTCTAGAGGTCAATTCAAACACATTTTAGATAAAAACTGCCAAAAGTTGTTTTGTTTTTTTTCTAAAACTCAACTTTCTGGAAGATTGATTTCAATGTACTTATTCTTGAGTACATTTTTTTTTCTTAATTAATACTTCTTGGTAAATGGTGTATGTGTAACTGATCAGTCACCTCTCATGACTTTCCACTGTGGTTTGTGGTTTCTTCGTTAGCTTTTTTGGTTTGGTTGGGTTTTTTTGGTGGTTTTTTTTTCCTAATCATGGAATTGTTGTGAGCTGAGACCAAGTGGGTGGGGGTCTCCGGTGAAATGGGTCGGCTGAATCCTTGTCAGTGCACTCAAACCCTTGGCACAAGGTTCAAATAAATATTCATGATAGCAACATGAAGTGCTGCAAGTATCCCTCCACAGTCACTTACTGGTCAAGGTTTCCATGTTCTTTTTGGTCTGTAGTGTAGGCCGTAGCTCCTCCACTGGGGAGAGGCTACAGAGGGAAAATGTGTTGTCGTGTGCTAAGCAATGTCAGTACTGAGGTAGTTACAACAGCCTGTTGAGGACAAATATTGCATACTTGGCTGAATATGTATAATAAGTATTTTAGGCCAGGTGTCTGTAATCTCCAGATGGCAACAGAAAAAAAAAAACCCAAAAAAAAACCCCCAAAAAAACCAAAAAAACCCAAAACCCTGAGAAAAAATTAAAAAACAGGGAAAAAAATATGATGTAGCTTTGGATTGAAGAAACTTCCAGATATGACTTCAATAGAAGTGTTTTTAATGAGATAAGCATGAAAAATGAAGGAATATACAGGGAGCATATGTGAGGAGTACAGGTTGTGTGTCACAAATATAGTTACCACAAAAAGAACAATACTACCTCTGGATATTTTGCCTATTTAAACTATTCAGGGCTGTCAAAATTCTGTTTCTAGTGCAAAAATAGCATTGTAGTAATTTTCTCCTGACCTGACACCACCGTTCTCATGCCCCCCAGGAATCAATAACATGGTGTCCAGCAGAGAGGGAATATTACTGAATATTATCTGTTTGAGGCTCAGACTTGTCTTTATCTCCTTTAGATAAATTAATAACCTGTCTCATATTTCTTTCTGTAACTGCCAAGTGCAGTTGGAACTCAACACAAACTTACTGTGGAGTTGCTGCTGATTGTTACAGGTTACTCACATTTCCAACCTAGGGGGGAAGGATATGGGAAAGACACTGTCTTACTCAAATTAAGACCTTATCCCTGTCACCTGGTTTGTCAGCAGCTGAACTTTCTTGTGAAACAGGGAAGTGTATCCTTCTGTTAGTTTAAACTGGTACATATGTCTGCCTGCTTTTTAAAAGGAATTTCACGCTGAGAGTACATGCTGAAAATGCTCATAAAATTCAGTGGCTTGCTGGGCAGGGTGAAGATGTTAAATTTAACTTACTTGAAATTTTTAAGACTTTGGCACTGCAAAATATTAGACAGCAGAGATAATGTAACATTAAATGCTGTTAGGACAGCTAATATCTTTATTCTGTGGCTTCTTTATATATCTGTATAACTTCAACTTACCAACACTTCTTGTGAAATTTATGGATAGTTCCTCAGGGTGAGACCTACAGAATGTTTCTGATCTACCAGTGATCTTCAACGTTGTGCATATATGTAGTTAGAAATACATAATGTTGATTGTTGACCTTTTTTAAAGTCTCTTCCTCTGAGGAAGTGTCTTTTGTAGTGCTTTGCAGCCCAAGTTGTGACTGTTGGGGTGCAATGGAGATTTTGATGCAAGACAAATGAAATCAGATGAATGCTATTGAAACACCCTAGAGGCTGGTTAATTTTATAATCTAACAATTTGAGACTCTGTTAGGGGTCACCAAGATTCTTAATAATACACTGAAATTCTGTGTGTGAATTTAAATTTTACTGGAATTATATAAAATGCTTTAAAAGACAAGTCTTAAACTTAGAGGTCACTATTTTCTGCAGGGATTTCTCAAAAGAGATTAAAGATTGAGTCTATTTTACTCCTTGTTTTACAGGATACTTATCTGCTGGTAACTGAAACTTCCCTTCCTTTGTAAAGGCCTAGAGAAATGCTTGATTTAAGTGTGGTTCGGGTTTGGCTCTTGTTTGGTAGGGATTTATGGCTGTTTCTCCATTATTGGCAACTCTTTTTCTCTTAAGTATCCAAGGACATTAGCTAAAAGGAAAATAAAAGAGTATGACAACAAAGGAAGAGATGATGAGCTATAGGGCAAACACTGAGTATTTTTCCCTGTTTAAGGACTGTAAATTATCAAATGTTTGGGGGTTTTTTATGCATCAAATACTAGAAACACTGAATTTTTTAAAGTACATCAGTGGAAATGCTGATATCGGAAAATAAAAGATTCTCTTGTTTTGCTAGGTATATATGATATAGAAATGCAAAAAAAAGTAGGCAAATAAAGCTTAGCAGGGAGCAAAAATTGTTGAGGAAGAGCCATATTTTACAAAAACAGTGTCTTGCCTACTAGTTTTGTCATAGGCTCTCATTCTTAACATCTCACCAAATATGCATAGTCTATAGACATTATTAATAAAGATATAACAGAGAAGCTTCACTGAAGCTATAGAAGTTTCATGGGCCATACTTGCACAATTAAAAAAAAAAGATAATTTTTACATTTTGTTCACTTCAATGAAAATTTAAACAAATGGGATGTTAGAGTTTTATGGGGAGTTTGGTTTTTTGGGTTCTGTAGTGCATTTCTGGATTTTTTCCCCTTGATTTCTCCTCTATCAGGAAACAGGTGATAACAACAAAAGCAGAGTCAGTGTTGGACTTGATGGGAAACAGTGATAGATGTGGCAATGAAGCCTTGAAAGAAATCTGAACATTATTTCAGTGTTTTTAAATAGGAGTAGCACCTTGGGAATAAGTTATATACTAAGGTGATTGATGTTCAGGTACACTATCTTGACCCTAGAAATCTTCTTTTCCAGATCTTTTTGTCCTTATAAAAAGCTCCAAGTGAGTGCAAATAGGCTGCCAATAAGAATTCATGATCCTTTGTCTGGTGAAACTACTATAAGCATAATTTCCTAAAATGCAAACCTCTGTTATTACCCAGGTACAGGAAAATACTTGTAGCTGAAATTCTTACAATTCTTGTGCCCTTTCCCAGCCCTTACTGAGTAATTCTTACTTTTAAAAGGAATAAATTTTTATTCTATAGTATTTCTAAAAGGGTTTTTATGTTTGTGGGTTTTGCTATGGAAACGTAATTATGGTTTTGTTCCTTATGACTCTATTTTGAGGTTAACATAAAGTCATATTTGAGTTGGAAAATGGGGTCAACTTGTCACAAGTGAATCTGTTTTCTTAATTTTTGCTGCCAAAATCTTTCACTGGAAAAGTTTTTTGTTTGTTTTAAAATTATCTTCATGCTACCT